CAAAACACATACTAGCACTTCAGTCTAAAGTTGGAAAATCATATCTTACGTAGTTGTCAAAAATATTCTTTGGAAAGTCAAGATCTATTCTTTGGATAAAATAAATGAAAATTCCACAGTATTAAGAATTACTCGTCAGAGGCCAAAAAACCTAATAACGACCATTTTTCACTCAGACACCTATTTCTTGATTATGAAAGTCATAAACAGTTCACACACACATGAAAATAAATACAAATGTTAACACTTTTACCATAGTTATACATACATTAACAAAAATAATGACATGCAATTACATAACCCCTGAGAAAGGTAGAGAAGGAGAAGAGAAAAAAAGAAGAAGAAAAAAGTGAAGAAATATACTTTCAAAATCTGAATGTTCATACACATTTGCAATATATTTCATGACTCATTAATGACTGGATGGCAAACATATATGCGAAGTCTATTTTTTTTTCTTTTTTTCTTTTGTTTTGCTTTGCTTTGCTTTATTCATTCACAGACAGCTCCACTAGTGCCTTATCATCAACGCATAAATTATTAGTCGTACCTACCTCACCTGTCTATTCTTTTTCTTTATTTTTTTAAGATTCTTTATATTTAATTATCATTAATATTGTTATTATATCATTTATAATGTTAATAATAATAACAACAGTGACATAAATAGCTTTGGAAAATGCATTTTTTTCCTGGAAACTCAAGGAAAGGGGAAATCAGGTAAGGTCAGGTAGGCATACTAATTGGCTCCATGATGGAAGAGCACTTATGGACCCATCTATGTATAAAAAATATATATATACAGCGGAAAACTGCAAACAGTGGACATATTGTCATCAATGGGTTAATTATACTCATTCTACAAGGACATTTTTCAATAACATTATAAATTTATCAGGCTACCTTATAAAGCACATACCATCACAACCTGCCTTGGACAATATTAGGCTAAGCAAAAGTGGGGAGTGTTGCTATCAACTTTCAAAAGTCTAATGAATTTGTAATACACCAATGCCAACCATGTCACTACAAATATAAGGTAGACAATGGCTGTAATGCTGCTGCTGCATTAATGATTACTGTGGTAATTAATATTCCTGACCTCACTGCAAAAGGCCTTACACATGAATATCTCAAGAAATGAGACACAATCTTCGTAAAGTACATTAAAAAATCTAATTTTACCTCAATTTATATTAAATTACTCCAATTGGCAATCTTACTTACTGAAGACCCCAAATAAGGCACAATTTTAAGGTAGTTAGAGGAAACACATTTTGAAGTCTGTTATACCCTCAGTGTATCTATTGTTCACTATACCACATCCTTAGACTGTAGTGTCCTCGTCTGAAGCCAATGGTATATGACAATTGTCTACTGTTCTCTTTAATATTCTCTTGTAACAACAGAACACACAGGGTAAAAACAAGAAACCACCTACAACTGCTCCCAAACTTGTGATAGCAACTTTCCATGTTATATTGAAGCCTTTTGTGGAAGCTTTCTGAAGAGTTGCAAACTGTGGAAGGAAAATTGGAATCCTATTAGGTATTGTTGGAAGCTGAAAGAAGTAAAACTGTATCATCTGATGATCATCTTGTGATGATCAAGTTGTTAATGAAGTAGCAATGGGAAGAACAGGATAATATTCATATGCCAAAGACTTTTTCACTTTAATGCTTCTTCAGGGGGATAAAGGCCTTTGGCATATTTATGTGATTTCACACTCACTCCCTCCCTCTCTCTCCCTCTCCCCAATTCAATCCCTCACTCGCGTATTATAATGCAGGGTTTCATACAAGTGGTACTAACATGTTGGGAAGTGAGTTGTCTAGGTTACATGCCTGTCAAATCTTTAAATGGACAGATTCTACATTTTTTTTACCTCTTCATTTCATTTTAAATATCCATTAATTTCTTTCTCTTTGCCAAGGATAAAATGGGTACATCTTGCAGAAAATATGCATTAGGAAAAGAGGGAAAGAACTGCCATAGATGTCAAAGAAAAGATGAGGAAGAAGGCTTTCAATCAAGAGAGGGAAAAAAGATCAGTGATTTTGAAATCTATACTCAAATAAAATAAAGTGTTTATTTAATGATTCATCTGTGTCCAAATGTTCAAAATATCTCCCTTTCTCATAATATATCTCAGTACTAGGCCTTATACTTCAGTTTTTGAGGCATGCAATCAAGGAGTTGGCCCCGGGCATTACTAGACCTCTGCACACTTTAATGCTTCTTCAGGGGAAGAAGAGTGCCTAGCTTCCTTTGTAGCTAGGCACTGGTTGAAGTCATCAATGTCTAGAGAAATTTCATAAAGTAATACTAAGTGGACATAATATTCTCCCAGTTCCAGTGGGATAATAGAAACCTAATTCTTGTTTGCCTATACTAGTATTACATTAGTCTTCCTAGTTATGTGACTTTTTGGTGTGTAATGATTGGGTTTTCTTTTTTACTTTTTTATTGGTTACTTAGTATACTATCTAATGAAAGAGGA